ATTTTCTACAAAGCAAAATTAGCATGTGTAAAGGGCTCCAATCTTCTCTCAGGAGTAGTACAAAAGTGTACCACCACATTATGACTTCCGCCAGCATGCAGAAGCCATTGTGTTTGGAAAAGCAGAGGCACAGGAAAGAGTATTCTACCTGTTGCTATTAGGAAACAGTCCCATGATGGAGGTTTCTCTTAAGCGGCTACCAGCCAAAAATATCCTCCCACGGCGAGTGAAACTTAGTAAATTGGAAGCACAGTCCATTCAGTATGTCTACCTGAAAAGGCCCAAAATAATACTCTCCCCCCTTCCTATTTCACTTTCATTGTAGAATTGAAAGAGGGAGGGGGCCCTCTGCATGCTGCCTGTGCTGCAAGGATGGCCCAGGCAGTTCCAACTGGCTGGTTTCCAGCCAATGAGAGTTGTGAGATTGTACTGGGGCTGGGGGCAGTGTGCAAAGCCCTCCCAGGGGCATACAGTGAGCAGAGAGCACATGACCTCCACAGCAGACAGCTTTGAGTAGCCCACAGGGTCGTGGCAGGCAGAGAGCCTGAGGCTCCTACTAGGTCATTGGATGGTGTGGCAGGCCAGATCGGGCCCATGGGCTGTATTTTGCCCACATCAATCTAACATCTCGATTAGAAGCATTTTGGGAAAGAGGAGGAAAAATAGGGTGGGAAGAAGAGAGCAAAATATGACAAAATGTTGGGGAGGAGGAAACCTAGAGCAGGGGTTCCCAATTTTTTCCCGAGGCCCAACTGTGCAGCTGCAGTATGGCCCATTATTAACACACATACACCAGGGAGAGAGGCCCCATGGGACATGCACAGATGCTCGCCTCAGGAAGGACTAGGGCTATCAAAAGGCCAAAGAAACTAGGCAGACCCCAGCCAGCCCCAGCCAACATCCTCCACCTCAGCAGCCTGCTGAGGGCCTTGAGCAGATGACCTGGCAGTCCTTCCCCAGTCATCCACCCAGAACCCTGGTACACATCACAGATCTTCTCTCCCTGGGAATGAGAAAGGGCTTGAGGACCCCCAATTCTGGGCAGAGGCAGGTGCTCTGAGTCCAGCTGTTATCTTGATGGTCCCGAACATGCTGTAGACTCCAAACAAACTGTGTGGCACCACCAACCCCAGCCCCTGGGAGGTCTGCAGGGCTGATGCTCCAGAGGACCTGACAGCCACAGATCATAGTGTGCAGCAAAGCAGGGTTATCATAGGTTTCCAAGTAGAAGACACTGCCAGAGGAAGGGGGTAATTAGGATTGCCAACTCTCTAATCACACAAACCCAAAGATCCTTGCCCCCCTGCCATGCCCCTTCCCCACTCACTCATGTGAGGGGAGAGGCTGCAGGATCCAGGAAGGGGCTCAGGGCAGGAGTAGGGGAGGGGATTCAGGGCTGGGGAAGGCAGTTGTACTGTGGGTGAGTGTTCTGGCCAGGCAGCGTTTAACTTGGCTGGCAGTGCAGCAGAGATAAGGCAGCTTGCCCTGGCCCTGTGCTACTCCTGGAAGCCGCTCGCCAATGGGAGCTGCAGAATCAGCACCTGCAGTGGGGGTAGCATGAGGCGAGTCCCTGACCAGAAAGACATGCTGGCTACTTCTTGGAGCTGCACTGGCCAAGGCAGGCAGGGATTTTGACTAAGCCTTGCAGTGCTGCTGGGCTTTCAGCAGTTTACAATCTTACGGATTGGCTGCAGGAGCCTCCAGGAGATAAAGCCTGATTCCGGGAGAATCCAGGCAAAAACAGGAAGGTTGCCAACCCTAGATACAATTGGGGCATGCTGGATGGATGTGTCCTAGGAGAGGTAATGGAGGGGGTGTTGGAAGGGGTACCTGCAGCCTCACTCTCAAACTTAGGTGTAAAGTTTGAACAAAGACTTTAATTATCTTACCCATTACAAAGATAGCTTCCCCAATTATCACCTCCCCCCCCCCCCCCCCCCATCTCCCTTCTGTTCTGAAATTTGATTTGTCCTTTTCATGTATGTTCATTTTTTTAAATTGTATCCTTTGGTATACATGGTTGTGACAGTTTTCTTCCACTATTTGATCTGAAGAAGTGGGTCTGGCCCATGAAAGCTCATCACCTAATAAACCATCTTGTTAGTCTTTAAAGTGCTACAGTGGCCTGTTTTTTGTTTCAGTAATATTTAGGTTACTCCCAGTCCTAAAGGGTGGCTGGGACTAGCAGTTAGAGCCTGGCACATCGTAGGAGCTCCCAGACCTGCCCCTCTTAGGCCTTTGGCCCAGAAATCAGGGTTAAAGGGATCTTGGGCAGTGTGTGTCTGAGTACTGGGGATGACTACGGCGCTTCCCTGACCATGGCATCCTGGGTGGTCACCCTACCACAAGGCTGGCCCTAACCCCATTTAAAAAGTCACGATTCTCTTCCTTATATGAGCCACCTACACTTCTGCTGGCAGTGGAAATGCCTGCAGAGCTGGGCACCCAGCCAGCACTCTCTAGCCACCCAGCTCCAAAGGCAGTGCAGAAGTAAAGGTGGCAATAACGCGACTCCCCTACACTAGCCTGATTTCACAGAAGAGGCCAGGTTTCACAGTCCATGATTCATTTTTCATGGCTGTGAATTGTGTTGGGCCCTACTTATAAACTGACCATTATTTTAGCAATGCCAACACAGAGAAGAGACAGACTGGTTTCCAGCTATGCATCGGTCAGTGTTCAGTGAGGCCTACAAGCCTTGGCAGGAATTGGCACCTAGTCTGCCAGCATCATAATGTACACACACAGAAGGAATCCCAACAATACCTCATCAGACCATAAGAACTGCTTCCTAGGAAAGGGGGACATTTTGGTCACACCCAAAAGATATGGCAAAGAGCAGGCCCCATTGTTTTAGGCACTAGTTTACAAACTAAAAAGGACAAGACACAAAATTGATAAACCATTGTCAGAAGCCCAGAGCCACTAACTTATGATCCCTCCCAATTTCTCCTCCAATAACAACCCTTCCCACTCCTTTTCCCTGAATCTACCTACAAAAGCCAGGATCCTTTGCCACCATAGCTCACAGAGTTCTCTTCCCATCTCCCCCTAGCTCCACAGCAAAAAAAGGGAGCCTCACTGTGGGAAGATGTAGGAAATTTTTTCCTCTCACTTTTGTTTTCTTCTAGAAACCTGTGAGGACTTGGCTAAAACCACTTCCCCTCACAAGAGAGATCAAAGTCCATGTTCACTCCTAGGGGAGACAGTCCATATGGTCTGATCTTTCGCAGCAGTGGGAAACAATGACTTCAGCAATTCTGAAGTGAAAAAAAAAATGTGGGCATAGCTTTTATTTTTTTAATCTCTAGATCGCCTCTTGGGTATGACACAATCCTAATTTAATACATTTCTGAAATGAACTCTCACTTAAAGCACTGGAAGATAAAATTAGTAGAATTTAGCTGGTGAGAAAATTAATGACTTTTGTATTTACAGTATTTTTTCTTATGTTATTTTAAATGTAATGAAAAATTAATACTGTTTAACTCAATTATATGGGGCCTATGAAAAGTTTTTTTTTTTTTTTTTTTTTTAAAAGACTGAGTCCTCTTATGCAAGAGTATTTTTCAGCTATTCATGTTTAGGTTTATTATAGAGTTAGAACCATAGCAATCTTAAATGTTCACTTTCTCCAGGTTTACAAATGATACATAATGCGTCCTCAGTTAATGTATTTCAAATTTATTCTCAACTCACTTGAAATAATTCATAAAGCTAAGCCATATGTTCACTCAGATAGTTATGTCTGAGGATATTTAAATCCCAAATGCTTCACAAAACAAGTAACCAGAACACAGAGAATGAAGATATACAGAGTATTGATGTGTAATTACATTTATGAATAGTGAAAGTCAGAAAATTTAGAATTATACCACTACAAAATTGTCTCACAGGCTTTGAAAGTTATGTCAGTGGTTAGAAAATAATTTTTTATTCCATGTGGATGCAGTGTTATATCTAGTTGTAAAATTCATAGCCCTGTGTAGTGACATGTTAATTTTAGGTGCTGAGGTTTGTTTTTAAAGCACCATGTTTTCATATTTTTCAAACTCAGTCCTCTGAAGAAGGAAGTCTAAACACAGACAAAATTATTGCATCTATAGTTTATTACTGCTAATGTTTGTTATCACTTCTGATCAGTTTGTAGCACATATGGGCACAAGTGAACCATATTATACAATCTATATTACGGATAATTCCTCCTACATTGTTAAAGCTAACAATGCCCATTTCAAATTTGTTCTTAACAATAAAGGAAGTATTTACAGAAGTCAGCAGTTTTCCTCAGTAGATGGACATTAACCTCTTACAAACTACATAAAATATACATGTGGGCTAGGCATGCTTGAGTCTTCCTTTCTTCAGATCTGATCTATCCTGCAAAATTAACATGAACAGAAATGAACTTTTAAAATTGAGTTTAGTATCAAAATAACCATCAATTTTGCATATAAATACACATTTGCTTACATTAGTCTCCAAAAATGTAAACAGACTAAAAGGCTAAACAGTAAAATATATTGATTCGCAAGAACCACTGAGATAAAGTCCTTAAGTTTAATTAGGGAGGGGAAAAATATATATAGTTCTAAACTAATCCACAAATTAATGTGGTACTTTATTTTAAGGATCCCCAAATAAAGTCTTATAAAACCACTCCAAGATTATTTCTCACAAAAGCAATTGCCAGCTAAGAGATCTGTATTGAACAAGATCTTCTTTTTAAAGATTAATAAACATCCTCACAGTCCAAGGTTTAATTACATTCTTGGCTTATCACAGCACATATTCTTCACCTTCTCATTGTTTGCTTGGTCACTTTTCGTACTTATCCCTTGTGTGCCGGTTCCTGCTCCGGTACCTAGGAGGAGAATAGCTAACTCTTCTTCTGGCCTGAAAGCTGGGTGTGTAAGGATACGTTCTATGTTTCTTTGGTTTTTCTTCTTTCCTGCTTTCACTTGGCTCCGGCTGCTTTCTGTCATCCTCCTGTTCATGTTCATGTTCTTGGTCTTGGTCTTGGTCTTGGTCTTTCTGAGAGGGTAACGTGTTCTTAATAGTATTAATAAGAAATCTCTTATTTGTACCTGCAAGAGGGCACTTCATCCTGTAAAGACATTTCAAAGCAATTATAAAATAACATCTTCACAAATATAAAAGTTCAATAGGAGACTTCTCTGCAATCTTTAGAGAGATTCAAGTTTGTGGTTTTGGCTTTCCTTGTATGCCACCTAGTGTAAACTCTGAGTACAGGAAAAGACATTCAGGATGTTCCCAATTCATTCCTCTTTTATTTTAGTCATGGGGCTCGAAACTGAATGGTTGTTACTTTAGTAGGGAAGAAATACAGAAGAAGAAGAAAAAAAAAAAGATGTGGAGATGGAGGTTTATGTTCCATTCTATATATGTGAACCTGCTTAGCTCATATTAGAAATTATTTATCAATGCTTACATCGTTATCTGATTTTTGAATAATTATAATACATTCCAAGTCTGACAGGAAAGGGAAAGATCAAGTTTTACTATATTAAGTATAGTTTATTTAATTAATTGAAAAATTTAGAAAGTAAAAAACATTTTTGCATGGGGAACATCAAGGAGCTATAGCAATAAAAGAGACAGGCTATTAAAGTTCTTAATTTAGGTTTGGGAAATGTCTTTCAAAAGAAGAGTTTAATTTTCAAAAAACTCAAGATACCAATCCTTTTCCCCCTTTTATGTTTCTTATCTTTGTTATGTAGCAGCACATCTAGTAGTCTCTAGAACACAGAATTTGTCTTATCAGCTAGTTTTTATTACCCAAATATTGTGCTCTTCTTTACAATCTTTTATTTCCTGC